GACAGACGCACAGCATTGTTCTTCTGGCGGATCTGCTCAGTGGGTCCTCCTCCTCGGGCTCGTTTGCGGACCGACATGATCGACCGGCAGACTGCAGCTTTGAGGATTTCATCGCGGTCCGAGCCCAGCATGTGCAGCCCACCTTGGGCCTCAGACAGGCAATTTCAGGCTCGTGTTTTTCTCTGTCTAATCAAAAATACATTGAATAATTGATGAATCAACACTAGAACTAAACAAATACTTTACTATGTGTTTCCAGAGATCCAAGAGCAGGCGATCGACCGCCTGTGCCGGGGTAAGACCAGCACAGGCATCGTACTGGTAATTCATTATGGAACCCAGGCGCTCGATGGCAGCTTCAGGTGCTGCCAGCAGCCGAGTACGATGATGCAAGCGACCGACATGCCAGCACTTTGGGTCTGTTCTGCATCGACCAACTGTAAACCAAGGATGTGCTTCCAAGGATCTAGCGATTGCCACAGAATCAACCGAGACCTTCATTTCGGTCACAACCACCAAGCGCTTAGCCAAGATACCAGACTTCCTCAGACCGACAATAGATATGGACGCATATATATTGTCAGCAAAGGAAGTCTGGGATCTTGGCTAGGCTGAATCTGAAATGCAGACCGGTGGCAGCACCGCCACGAGTCCCTTTGTGGGAACTATGACCGCCCCTGTCTTTCTGCGTTTCCGTCTGTTTACAGTGAGACTTCCGACCTGCGCGAGTCCTCAGAACTATGATAAGGGAAACACAAACCAAATGCTGTTGCATTCCATTTCCAACAATCATGCAGAACACTCCACTCCAACCTGTATTAACTGATCATGTCTTTACTAATAAATAATTACAACTGAATGAATATTGCAAGCGACCGTCGCTGGCAACCTGGAAAGTCTCATACGCAGACATAGGCAGCTGCTGCTGTTGGTACGATCCCAAACAAAGTGAAACGACAGACGCACAATACAGCTGTCCAGCTCTTGAAGCATAGGGCATTTTCTGCTGCACGATGGCCGCCACAGCGGAGAAGACCATGACCGGCCGCACAGTGCAAGCAGTAACGGAAAACCATGATTTAGCCTCTGCTCTGATGACCGGCGGCACCCGACAGTCCTTCCCAAATGCTGCTGCAAGAACACGAGAAAGGAACAGTCTATATTGTGCCTTCATGTCTTCGACCGGCAAATCCCATCGATGTTCGACACCTTGAAACTCAGGGCCCGTGGGCCAAAGTGTGTGCCTTAGGACCGGCCTGAGTGCCTGATACAGTTTCAGGAAAGCATCTCCGTGCCGAGGTTGGGCTTGACCGCCGATCAACCCTTCCCAGTCAAACGCAATCATTGCATTGGACCGGATCTGCAAGACATCATCATTGACACCGACCGGCCCGAGAATTTGCGACATCTCCTCTGTGGCACGACCGGCGAGCGTCTTTGCACTGTCCAGTGCTTGAATCACATCATGGTGCACGATATAAACCTTCTCTGGGATGACACACCGCGACCGCCATTTGCATACACAACGACCGGCCTGTGCCCAAGTGGATTCTGCGTGTTCGCAACCATCGGTCCGATCCTCCCACAAATGTTGACGAAATCGACGAGCTTCTTGTCTTCCAAGCTGCCGTGTTCGACTACGAAACTGAACACGTGGCTCGTAGAAGTCATCTTGCAACGAAGCTCGACCGTCAGCCCACACCGGCACACGCACCTTGAAGGGTGTGTTTCATGTTTAATGATTTAAGGTTGGGCGGCAGGGGCTTCATCTCTCTGAGACAGACGAAGAGAATGAATGAAGTAACACCAAAACTCCGACCGCCCGACCAGAAACATCAGCATGTCACGCCTCACGGGTTCCACGTGGTCCATCCCAGTTCACAACTGGCCTCGGCCTCGTCTCAGAATATTTCTCCCTGCCCAGACATTGGCAATGTGGGCCCAAGCAATAGTATTCGACCGACGGCTCTCTGCTGGTGTGCAATGTAACCGACGAGAACTCTGGCGGCAGTACATGCATTATCTTCATGATTCCAGGAAGAAACTTTGGCAAAAAGCGACCAGCTGGTGTGTAGCAAAGGGCTGCAAGAAACTGCATGATCTGCTTGCTGGAACAGTGCTGGCGCAACAAGGTGGCGACCGTCACGTAGGTCTTCAGTCTGTCGATGGAGGTGCTTGCTCGTCTGGCGTACTGCAGCGATCTCTCTGCACTTGCTTGCAGTTTTGAAGGTTCGACCGCCTTTTGGGCCACCTGAGAAAAAGCTTCGAAGGCGACCGGCATGAAGTTTTCCAAGAAAGATAGGAACACCACAAAGCTCACGTCTGTCAAACGGCGACCGACGTCCATCAAATTTCTCAGACTTCGGGCTCCGTGCTTTTGCTGCTTCCAAGCCAGTCTTGCATGCATAGCGGTGACGACCGGCCTGAAATTCTTCAAAAGCGACAAACGGAAAAATACAAACATCCGTGTTCCGCCAGGTGCTCCCAGGGTGCCGACCGGCTCACCAATTTGTTTCGAAACTCCTCGCAGCAAGGCCCGACCGTCGCCCATGAAAAAGGTCTTGTCCAAAACAGATACGATGTCCATAACTTCTGTAGCTGCATCGACAGACTTGATTGCCCGATCCAGTGCGGTTTGTTCCTTCGTAGTTCGACCAACAGTGTGTACATATTACAATTGAACATATCGTTTGATTATCACAACTATTGCTTTGTAGCTATGCTTCACGGTGCATCAGGCCCCAGTCCGTCATGACCGGCACAGGGTCTCCATCCCAAACAGAATTGAAAACTTCAGACCATATCAGTTCCGCCGAAGCTGTGCTCTTGTGCCGAGCCAACCGACCACCCATGGCATTGGCGCCATCGCCGACAACCATGGCTAAAGATGCCGCCAGTGACCGGCTGCTAAAATGGGCAGGGTGCTCCTCCAGAATCTCCAACGCGACCTTCTTCAATTGTGGGCCTGCATGATCACCGACACCCAAAGTCTTCCCGCCAACCATCGGTGTGTAAGCACGACCTGTGGCAAATTATTAGTTGTTAATTTATTCTGTGAAAAAATAGATAGAAGACACAAAGGTGACCGGCTAGTGCCATGATGCTTTGGACATGAAGAGGAAGCCTGTGCTTTGGCTCACGACCGACAGTCCGACCAGCAACACATTGTCCCGCTTCAGCATTTGTTCTTTGCCAATGGAGATGGAGTCCAACATGACACCTTGCTTAGTGAGATGAGCCACATCACTGATTCACACACACAGTTGCAGCATCGACTGTCTAATCTGGCGGCAAAGCACAGAAGTCGCTTGGAATGCCTAGGCCAACGACCAGCCGTTGAAAATCCATCGCATCCAAATTCTGCAATGCCCTGGCGGCATAGAACTCCACCTCGCGGCAGAACGACCGGCTGCAAGGCCAATGGCCCAATTGCACTCCACGCCGGCGGTTCCTCTCGGCATCTCTTTCAAAAGAGAGGAAGGACCGGCCTTCGGATGCGTTGGAAAGGCAAATGTCGACTACTGTGTCCAGTGACAGCTCCTTGTCGACCGACACGGCCTTCTGTTTCCTTTGTATACCCTCCTTCTCTTTCTCTTTGAGCTTCTCGCGTTCAAACTCTTCAAGCTTCGACCGGCTCTGCATGGATCGTTCTACGCTGGTGGTTCCCAAACCCAATAGAGCTGCTGCTACCCTTTCGACCAGTGATTTGCCAGCAAACTTCCTTTCAGGCAGCAGTTATTGTATTGAATCAATTACTTAAATTAGTTAACTGAAATAATTTTGCAGATGATAATTGATAAATCTATAAAATATTGGATTTGGAAGACCCAGCCTGACCGGCATGTATTTCATCACGGCCGACAAGACGTCTTTCGGGCAGCGCTGAAGGTTGGTCATGACATTGACCGACAAAACTTGGCCTTGGCCTTGCAAGGCAGCATGTCTGTCCACGAACGTACCACAGTTCTCCCCTGGTCGCCAAAGGCGACCGTCGACTTCATCTTCGACCGGCATTTCGGCTTCGCTGTCAGAAACACTGGGTTCGGATGCAGCATCGGCTGACGAGGAATCAAAGTTTTGTGTGCAAGCGACCGACTCGGAGGTTTCTGACCTTAAAGAAGGCACAAACTCCTGGTCAGACATGGCTCCGTCAGACATGGCTCTTATGGATGGCGATCAACTCTACCCCAGCAAAGGTTCATGGGTTGCGTTTTGGGTGAGGTGTGCTGGCCAAACTGCTTTACTGATTCCTGATGTCTGTCAGTTCTGGAGAATGAGATGACGTCCAGGCACAGTTGCATCAAGCACTTCGGTTGCCTGTCTGACAAACACTGGGAAGCCCTGGCTGGGTGACTGACTGAGAAACTGTGCAAAGTCCAAGAACACTTTTCTCAGCTTCACCTTTCACATCTCACAATACGGCTCTTAGTCTCAATGTGATGGATGCTGGGACCCTGGCAAGGCCTTGGCGACCGGCTGGCATGATGCGCGAAGTCAAGAACATTTTGTGCACCTCCAGTCTGATACTGGCTCTTGAATTGTCCTCTCTGCAAGTGTTGCCAGTTGAATGAAAAGCTTCTGGGCAAATAGCGGGGATGGAACTGCTCTCCACTGTCATCGGACAGAGAACCTGAGCAGGGTGAAATGACATTTGTGGTGTCATCATCAGAATCAGAATCGACACATCTTCCACCATGAACCATTTTTCTGATGCTGCCACAGAGCCCCAGACCGTCGGACGAATCAGCAAAACTCCACAAAGTGTCAAAACAATTCTGTCGACGGGTTATCCCCGATGGCAGAGTCGACCGTCGGACGAATCAGCAAAACTCCACAAAGTGTGCACACAATTGTGTCGACGGGTTATCCCTGATGGCAGAGTCGACCGTCGGACGACGAATCAGCAAAAAATCCGCGTGAAGTGGGAAAACAATTCTGTCGACGGGTTATCCCCGATGGCAGACTTAACATGCGGATAGTTATAGTTGTCAGCGACTACTTCAGTGACCGACTTCGCGACCGACAAGCAAGCCGAGATGTCCCGGCTTGCCGGGAATGATCAGCTGTTTGTCGATCACTAGGCAAGCTTTGACCGGCGTGAGACTCCCTTTGCTGCCATTTTTCATCACCCACCTCCAAGAAGCATCCGTGGCCTTGTTGAGCTGGGCCATCACGACCGACGCGTCATCTCCTGGAACCCAAACCATCTGCTGGTTAGGTTTCAGACCGGCCGATGGGAGGAAACCTTGGGTGAAGGAAGGCGGGATGTGCTCCCAAACGGAGTTCGACTTGAGGCTGGCGACCGCGTCTGCGACCGTCACTTGCTTCCCATTGACAATGACCTTGTCCTTCGAAGAGGTCAGCTTGTACTCCAGACCGACAGCACTGGAGTTTTTGCGGAAACGACCGGCGCTGCAATCCAGAGTGTACACAATTGTGCCTGGAGGCAGCCTCTTGTTGGTGGAGGTTCCGACCGGCAAAAGGATCCTCAAGTTCTGCAAGTCCAAGCGAAACGTGGCATCACCCACGATGAAATTGGCGACCGACGCAGGGTTCAGCTCCGGCTCCGGGGCTGTTACATCAGCTTTGACGACCGGCGGCGAAGTCTCAGCTGCAGCAGACGGGGCTGGCTTGTCGACCGGCACTGGACCAGTAGCGGGAGCCGGAGTGACCGGAGCCGGTGCGACCGGCGAAGGCTTGGCCTTGGCCTCTGAGGTTCGGGGTTTTTTGCCAGCTGGCTCCACTGTTGTCTCTTCCTTGACCGGCGGCTCATTCACAGGCTCCTGAAACCACTTATCCATGAACTGCTTCTTGCTGGCAGCGAGCTCGACCGGCGTGGCTTGTGACCTGTCAGAGTAATAATAAACGTGCTGCATCAGCAAGCAATGGACTCGACAGCAACCTAACTATCGCAGCCAGGTGGCGGATCATAGTCTGGACCCAGGTCGACCGACACGACCGACTTTGCAGCAATGCCACACCCATTCCGTGTCTTGACGACCAATGCGATGAGACCGTCAGAGGCGCCCTGGCTGATGTCAAAGTTGAAGGCCGCGTTTGCTCGCTTTGCGGCTTTACTGAGCGGGGCGACGTGGCTAGCAGCCCCAATTAACAGTGACCAGACCGACGAGGAGCGATCCTCTGTCAAACCGACGCAGTCCGTCCTGAGCACAGGATTCTTGGCGAGGTTCACTTTGTCGGAGTTCACGACCGACAAGAGGCTTGCCATGTTGTCGAAATGCAAAGCACTGCATGTGCATATCAAGTCCCCCTCCTTTTTAGGGACAGTCGTGATGAGTGCAACATGACCGTCGATGACCGACAATCCCAGGTCATACTTGACCAGCTCCTCATGTGTGAGATCGTTGCATTTCTTCTCCATGTCATTGTAGTTGGCAACCGACTTGTTGATACCTCAGTTCGGAATTGCACACGTCCTATCATAATCGATCAATGCATGACATGAAGGTCAGAACTCAAGCCAAAACACCATTTCGCCAGGTGCTCTCGACCGGAATCTCCAACAGCTTGAACACTGAGCCCTCTGCTGCATAGGGGTTAAAGACCGGCACACACGGGATGTCTGTCACCTTGCGCTTCAAGTTCAATGACCGGCTAGCTTCATCCAGTTTCAGGGCGGTGCACATGTCGTCGAGCAAGACTCGGCCATGTGCCATGGAGTGCCTGAGCTTAACATGCATTCCTGCGAAAAGCTTTTGGTTGACACACGTTTCATGCTTTGTCGGCAAGATGCTCGACCGGCCCACGAACCATACCTATGACTGTGGAGACGACCGACTGGACCCCAACGAAGATGGAAGGATGGGCTGTGCGTGTGGAGACCGCCATCCACCTGCACTGATCACCACGGAAGACTTCTCGCACGACCGACGCATGGTGATCCCAGCATTTGGCCACCAACCACAAATCCACAGGATACTTCTTGTCGACGGACGCTTCGACCGCCTGTGTGTCAGGACCGGCTTCCTCTGTGGTGTCCAACGTCTTGCTATCCTCTGGCTGCTCTTGGTCACTGACCGGCAACTCCTCCCAGATTCAGTAAAGTGATTGATGACGTCCACATCAAACCCTGAACTGCACCTGGACTGCACCTGAACTGCACCTGAATGGCACCAATATAGAAAACCTCATCACCTGAACTGCACCTGAACTGCACCTGAACTGCACCTGACCTGCACCTGCCGCCCTGCCCCCCACAAAGGTCCTCTGTGGGATGGGCCGGCATGTCTGTCATGGGTTTGCACGGCCTGAGCTTGCCTCAGTAGGAGTGTGGGTTAGTGTGGGCAGTGGGGCCATTAGTCTAGTTTCAAGGATTCTTTTAATTTAATTCAAAGGCACAATTGTAGTCGGTGCAGCGCATCTGTAACTTCTCATAGGCAAATGACCGGCATTTGTTGACAGTCACATGGCTCGGCACCACCTCCTTCGCAGAGACCGACAACTCCGACTGTGAATAGACCATGTAAGTCGGTCGACGATTCCGGGACTGTTCTGGACCGGCAGTGAAGGTGATGACGTACGCCTCACGGTTTGGGATCATCGTCTGCAGCTGGTTCCTTAGCTGTAGTGTTGCATCGACCGACCAATTGGATTGTCGCACCCCAAAACTTGCACTGACCACGATTGCCACTGCAGATGCTTTAAATCTTTTTTTGGCTTCCTGCATGCCCCTTCACACAGAAATTTGACACCCGACGACTGGCGGTTCAACGACCAGCGTGGTGTCTGTACTTCTCCTCTGCAGCAATAATGAAAAGCCTCAGCTGCTGTCGCTCGTTCGGCAGCTTTTTCAAGAAAGCTCTTATGTCTTCTTGAGCGCCAGAGACGACCGGCACGTTCTTATCAATTCGGGAATTGATGAAGGACATGTCATACAGCACCTTCACTGTGACAAACAAATGACACAGTGTCGATGTTGTGAAGATCGCAAACAAGAGACACCCGACCGCCCAAAGATCAGCTGTGGGTGCCAACCTCACCCTTACAGCAAAGCTACGACCGGGTTCCTGTGACCCGCTAAGCTCCGGAGGTCTGTACGCTGCAGAGTACACCTCGTCACCATAGACAGCTGTCCCGACCGGCTCAGTGAGGCCGAAGTCGCCCAGCGGGCTCGAACATGGGGGGCAGGACCGACAAGTATGTTCTGTGGCTTCACATCACAGTGCACAAGCTTGTGACAGTGCAGATACTGGAGTCCATGTGCAAGATCGACCATCAGATGCCATTTGTGTGGGCACTTTGCGGCCTTGGGCTGCGTCTTCAGCCAAGCGTCCAATGTCACCGGCACATACTCCAAAAGAAGGCCCACGAGACCTCCGTCGACCGACATGACTGGCCCATAACAATGCAGGATGGCTGGGTGGCGTAGACTGAGGAGAACGTCTAGCTCCCTCTTCACGTCCCTGCTGCCGACCGGCAACCTCGACATGACAAGATGCAGCACTAAACCCAAAGTCGACAAAGACATCATTCGTTCATTCATTCATGATTGTTCAATCGCATGAACCTTAATAATAAAATGAATAGCCAAGATGCTTCACTGCGAACTCCGTTCCCATCAAGTTTTCACAGCGGTAAACTGTGCCATGGGCGCCTTGTCCCAGGGTCGACCGACTGGAAAGTGCCATGCCTTCAAAGGAGAACCTCAATTCATTGACGAGGTTCTCATCGACCGGTGGCTGCTGGTCACTATCATCCTCAGGCTTCGGGTCTCTGACCGGCGAGTCGACTTCCACTGGAGGATGAGCGAGCTCCCTCTTGAGGGCGTTGTGCTTTCTGTGATCCTTGACCGCCGCGTCCACAAAGGGTTGTTTCTCCTTTTTTGACATCTGCTTCCATCGCGACCGGCTCTGATCTAAGTTTTTCAAGAAGGTTTTGACTCGAAGGCGCTTCAATGGAGGGTCGACCGTCCCTGTCCTGGCGACCGTCGCACAGTAACGGGCATAGGGCCCTGCCACCCTCTTCAGCCCGAGGCTTTTGTTACTGATTCGACCCATGAAGGTCGACCGGCCGTTTTGGACTTGAGCCGAAGCAACGCTGAGCACAGCAGTCGACCGACAAGTCTAGAAAGAACTCTGTGCCATCCAAGGTTCACGACCAACGTCACTAAGTCGTGGCGCTTTCCACAGAAGATGCCCATGGACACGTATTGCCGATCTACGACCGACGTGACGACCTTCCACAACTCTGCCATGTCCCCCAAAATGATCTTGGCCTTCGACGTGGCCTCATCGATGTAAATGCCGCCACGGGTCGTCGCCCGGCATAGACCGACGAAGCCATCACCAAAGGTCTTCATGTCATGAAACAGATGAATGTTGGAGCGGACCGACAAGCCGAGCTCCTCAGCTTTTTCAAGAACAGGATCCTTCTCCACCAGTGGGGCCTCCATCGTGATGTCGTCAGCCAAGATCCCAGACTCGTCGTCTCCCCCCTCAACGACCAGCTTGTGCTCTGTGACCGTTGCTTTGGCCGCATCCACAGCACTTTCGGCTTCATCCACTGCACGACCAGCGGCCAGATTCTTCAACCCTTGGAGGACCGACACACACTCAGGGATGCCACTGCCCTCGATCTTCGGGTCACCAGACAGACCGACGCCAAGACGCATGCACGTCCTTGGCAACCCCATCACCAAAATAATGAGACATGGCACTGAATGTCAGTTATAGTTCATAGTGCTAGCAAGCCTCAAAATGCGCGACCGTCCACGCTCACTCCACAGCATCTTCTGACAGCGGTCATACGCTGGTAGGCGGCTCACGACCGACGAGTACTTCTTCATGACCAACTGACACCACAACTGTGCCTTCAACATTGGGGCACAAAAGTCAGACATGAAGGTCGGTATGGAAGAGACCGTCCCGCGACCGTCACAGAAGTCATAGAAAAGCTGCAGAGCAGCAATCTGCTGCTCGGGTTCCAGGAGGAAGCCTGAGCCAACTGCATTCCGCGACCAACAATGCAGGGAAACCTAACAGCATGGCATGCCGCCGAGTTACGTGTCTCTTCTCCTTGACCGACGAAGTACTTGTTCGTGAAAACAAGTCCCTGTGGCAGGTCGGGCTTCTCCTTCAGCTTGATCAGGACCGGCTCTTTTAACACTGCAGTCGCTTTGCACCAGTTGTGGATTGTTGACCGGCGTGACTTGCCCAAAATTTCCACCATGGCGTTCTCGGCGTCCTGACAGATGAGACTCAGGGCCAGCAACAAAACAGGTGGTCGACCGACTGTCCTTTATCAGACCGCCAGGAACTTTGGCGACATAAGCACGCACAAGTTTGATCTTGTGCTCGACCGACGTCGTCCGCAACTTGTTGGCCTCCTGCTCATGGGCCATGGTGTAGAAGAGCTTGACCGCCGCCTGACACAGGAGTAACTAGTGACCGTCATGAGTGTCTAGTCATACTGCACATCCCTGGCCTCATCATCATCCGAGAATTTGATGCAATCAAAACGCATTCCGACCGTCAGAATGTCCTTGATCTCACCTGTGTACCACTCGAGCTGCGTTGCATCATCGGACTGAGCGACCGTCTCAGCAGCTTTCCTCGGTCAGAAAGTAATTTAAAATTAAGGGAAATGAAAACCGTGGACTTCGACCGACTCTTTTCTGACCAGCTGACAAACCAGTGCACACCGGAACGTGGAATTGGACCGACAAACTACACGTCGTCAAGTATCTTCAACGCTGCGATACAGTGCTTGCCATCTGCCAGCTTCGACCGGCCATCAGATGCGGCCATAGGACGACCAGCAGGATCATACCTGCGAAACCCAAGAGTGAACTACCAAGCACGAGAAAATAAACTTTTCGACTGGCCTCAGCTTCGGTCGGGACAACGAAGCCTGGCCCCAACGACCGGCCAAAATCACCTTCTCATACAACTCCAGGACACGATCCTCATCGACGTCCCGATGGCCGGAATCATGGGCGACCGACACGTCGTCAAGCTTTAAGAGCTTGCTCTCCACGTAGACCGGCGCGTAAGCAGGAGTGCCTGCTTTCTTGGACATGGCTCGACCGGCCGACTTGGTTCGGAACCCCGAGGATCGGTTGCTAAGGCTTGTAAGCCCAAACTCCAGGTAGGCAACGGCACGACCGACACTCAGAGATGTGCTTCCAAGATCATCGACCGGCCTGCCGATGTTGAACCCACAAGATAGGCCCACAAGGCTTAGCAACCTATTCTGCTGGTTCAACTGGAAGAGCATGCACGACCGGCTAAGGTGCTGCAACATATGTGTCAGAGTGGGACCGACCTAGGACGATGCAGCACTAGACCGACTTTAACCCCCAAGATAGGACCACAAGCCTTAGCAAAGCATCCTTTGGGTTCAACTTAGTGAAGGCATGTATTCAACCTTGGAGGTCATCTCTGGCTCGGGCTGTCGACCGATGTCTGAACTGGTAACTTGGGGCTACAAGCCTTAGCAACCGATCCTGGGGGTTCCGAACCAAATGCAGCCCAGAGTGGATTCCAAAGCATGTGCCATGCGCTGGAATGCACCATGGACCGCCAGGCTGGCATGCATTGTGCTACCAAGTCAACAACTTGACTACATGACAGAACCAACAGGTAACAAACAAAGTCAGGTATGCTGCACTCAATCTCGAACACTAAGTCGACTGGCATGCCCTCTCACGTGCTTCACATTTTAAACACATGTCTCGCTGGCTGCTGAAACCGACAGACGACTGTGGCTCTATGCACACATGGCATGGCCGACAGCTGGCAGGACAGGCTGCATCTGGCATTCAGAAAACACTATCGTCATGATCATGATGGTCTGTCATTATTTGACCGACAACTGCCAGGGCCAGCCTGCCTGCTAGAGTGAGGAAAAAGGCCTTTGACTCGACCGGCGTGGTGGACATCAGCTAGACTCAGCGACCTGGTCCATGACGAGCGGCTGCTTTGTCTTGCCTGCAACATCTTCCTCGACCGACTCCATGACGAGTGGCTGCTTTGTCTTGCCCGCCAGATCCTCGACCGACACCGTTGTCTTGCCCGCCAGATCCACGACCGACTCTTTGGCGAGCATCTCATCCATTTCTGCGACCAGCTTCTTCTGTATCGCGAGCAGAGTTGACGACCGACTGTTCAGCTCCTCCAACTCTTTATCGTTCTGGTACATGTATTCCTTCAGCGTCTCGAGGTTCTTTAACTTCACGAAGTCACCGACCGGCACCTTGTTGCTGAACTGAACCATGACCTTGTAGTCCGCGGCGACCGACTCAACGCCCATCTGGGGAAGCGTCGGCGCGTAGTAGTAGTCCTGAGCAGACAGCTTATGCTGTAGATTGCAACTGCAGGATTAGAAATCATGCAACTGCAACATCACTGAATCGAATGCCACCAAAGCACACAGACCGGCGACATGCTTTCATCATAGTGAAGGAGTCCAACTGGAAGCATGCCCACTCCATAGTAGCTCAGCCGCACATCGACCGCCGTGCCGCCACCTGCCAGCCAACACATCAGCGCAGCCTTCGTCGGGTTACTGAAATACATATATCCAGTGCCACCCCGACCGACTGTGGAGGAAGGCCGCTTTTGCCCTCGGGGCTTGTTCATGCTGTTGGCCAGCAGCTTCTTCACGACCGACAGCTCCGTCACATCATCGGAGATCTTGTAGAACACGAAAGCAGGCTTGTCGACCGGCACGTCACTTGGCAACGCCTCCACCTCGAGGCGGGCGTCCATGCGTGTGACTTTGAGGTGCTTCTCGACCGACAAGTCGAGGTTCCTCACGACGAAGCCGTCGTTGGTGCATGGTCTGACCGACCCTTGTTCCATAGCCAGTTGGAACTCATCGACCTGCACTTCCAGCACGACCACGAACCGGGTCAACAGAAGTTTGACCTCATCTTCCCGACCGGCGTTATCAGTAACACACATGATTGTGCCCTCAGCCGAAACACGATGGGCCTGCTCCTTGTGCTTCGACCGTTGGTACATCGGCCCCGGAATGGGATCCGTGTCGGAAAGCTGGTATTGCATCCTGACCGACCGGGCAGTTCAGAACTAAGGACGACCTACACTACTGCATCCTCGCTGGTCATGATAAATGAACTGAAACACAGCAGCAAGGCACCTGCGACCGACACCAGCGATAGCCTTATACACAGCGACCGACGGGGAGAAATAGGCCTGGACGTCGGGAACTGGGTTCCAGAGCCAGTGCTCCCACTGGTCGACCGACAGTCCGACATAACCTGTCTTGGCCATAGCGACGGGGAGTGGGGCCGGCAAGTCTCGTGAAGCTGAAATTGCTTTGTGGCATGGCAGGCATCATAGACATAGACCGACTGTGACTGTGCCCAACAACTGCAGGTAGCCAATGAGGACCAGGCCAACCGGCACCCGCTGATCAGACATCATAGAGCTGGAGTCCAGTTCTATGGTGTCTGACCAGATGGTGATGGTAGGCGACCGACCTTGGCAAATATGAATCATGAAGTCATAGCTAGTTACAGTATCCAAAGCACGCTGCCCACGCATGTGTCTGAGAACACCACCGGCAAAGAAAGTAGATCTGCTTCTGTCTGGACCTCAATACTTAAGGTGACTGGGATCTCAAATTGGCATGGACCTGTTACTGCTACAGGAGCCCGACCTCCCAGAGCATCCAAGGAGCTCCTCAACCCTTCGTCGGCGCCACTCAGCCAGTCGTAGTTCGACTGGCTGAGCGGTGCCGACGAAGGGTTGAGGACACCTGTCGGTAGCTCTCCTCGACCGGCAACACTTCCTGACCAGGTGTTGCTAAGTCAATCATTACAGCAGTGTCCAGCATTATTGAATGCTGATCGACACTGAGGCCTGTACCCTGAGCCATGAAGATTTACATTGGGTGGTCTGGGAGGTGATAGACCTTGAGCGAACACACACATAACACTTTCGAAAGTACACTGCCCACGCATGTGTCTGAGAACACCACCGGCAAAGAAAGTAGATCTGCTTCTGCCTGGACCTCAATACTTAAGGTGACTGGGATCTCAAATTGGCATGGACCTGTTACTGCTACAGGAGCCCGACCTCCCAGAGCATCCAAGGAGCTCCTCAACCCTTCGTCGGCGCCACTCAGCCAGTCGTAGTCGACTGGCTGAGCGGTGCCGACGAAGGGTTGAGGACACCTGTCGATAGCTCTCCTCGACCGGCAACACTTCCTGACCAGGTGTTGCTAAGTCAATCATTACAGCAGTGTCCAGCATTATTGAATGCTGACCGACACTGAGGCCTGTACCCTGAGCCATGAAGATTTAGATTGGGTGGTCTGGGAGGTGATAGACCTGGACTGAAAATTTCAATCCAGGTCTATGCCTCCCAGAGAACCCGAGGAGCTCGACCGGCAACACTTCCTGACCAGGTGTCGCCAAGATGTGGCAGAGAAGCTTTATGGATCAATCGGAGCACCTTGGCTTAAATATATATATATATATATATATATATGTTGCAAGATAGTGACTGTCACTATCACTAGAGCCGATGTATTTAAGCCAAAACTGTGTGATGCTATGGGCAGGGACCGGCCAAGTAGTCTTACTCTGACCAGACCAGAGATCCTGGTAAGTTCATTCGTGTCTTTTTTTTGTAATACAGCATACCTTTTACTATTTTATGATTTGTATACCTCACATATGGTTGTGCAGCATCACCACACCTGAACTGCACCTGAACTGCACCTGAACTGCACCAATCTATAATAGCACGAACGCTGAACTGCACCTGAACTGCACCTCAACTGCACCTGAACTGCACCAGCATTATCCATGTTCATGGTTTCCCCCAGAAAGAATAAACAGAACAGACCGGCTAGTAGACCTTCTTGAATAATTAATTCCTACTAAGGGATATAGGTAAACTTATAGGGCTCTGTCTATTATTTCTAAAAAGGACAAGCGTGAACTGCACTGGAACCTTTGTGAATCAAAGCATCAAACCCAGCAGTCCTCCTGGACTGTGTCAGACCGTCGCTCAGCCGAGGCCATTGGGGGATCTTGTCATTTTGACGAGATCCCCCGATGGCCTCGGCTAGCCTGGCTCAAGGTGCCAAACAATGCATCTTGACTTGGCTCTGTGATCCTCAGATGAAACGTTGACTTAGTGCTGGACGACCGACTCGTCGCCGGGCCGGCCTGCCACGTCGGTGGTCTGTCCATCGGTCTGATTTATTTATGATTACACCTCACGAATCCGCCTCATGCGGGACACTGACCGGCCCCATGTGAAGCTCTCGCCTTGGAGCAAAAAGTAGACAGGTAAATACCGGAACACCCACTGCATCCAGGGATGTGGCAGGTCATGAAGATGTTGCCGAAAGCCTGTCCACGGGAAAATGCATCATTGCTGTAAACAAATGAGGTGGCACCCATGATGCATGAGCTGCACTTGTTTTGCCATCATTGCACGACCGTCGGTTTCTGCTCTGATCCGAGTCGATTCGAGCTGAAGACGGGACCGGCCATGGTAGGTTCTCATTTGAAGAGCTGAATTCTGAATGTGTCCATTAATGGCAACTCAATGAGAAGTGTTGCATAGTTTCATTGACTAAGTCGGTATATTAAGACTTGACTGACTGACTTAACTTATTCCAAACAAATCTAAACCGAAGCTGCCCCGTCTTCTGCGACTGTCGGTCCCGCAAGCGCTGTCGCAAACGACGACACGACAGAAAAACAGGCGACCGACTCTTGCTGGAGGTCACGGTCACGACCCCATTGTTGCAGCTCCCATCAGGGATCCTGTGAACGTCAGGTGTTTGTGGAACTTGACAGTCAACATGACATGAACGCAAACACACACACACACACAGTCGGAAGTCCTGCTGACGACCGTCTTGTGGCTGGTCCTCCGATGTTGAAGCACAGCTGTGACAGTGAATGCACTCTGACTACTCGTGTCTCTTGACCCCAGCTTCCAATCCAACTGGAGACCTCCCTCGCAATGCAATCTTATACTTATGTGTCCCCGACGACCAGCAGTACAAACACATGTTCAGGAGTCCTACTGGTG